TACTTTTAGCACTAACGCCTCTTTCTCAATGACAGAATAATTCCTTTCCGCTTTACTTAGAGCTCTTGAAAAATATAATATCGGTCATTCCCTCCCCTACATTATATGCAACAATCCCCCTCCAACCCCTTCACTAGAAGCATCCGCTGTTAACACTACCTCTAACTCTTCATTAAAACTCACAAATATAGGACTCTAAACAATCTCTTGTTTATCGCCGGGGTGGCCTAATGGGTAAGATGTAGGCTTGGAAACACGAGTATAAACAAGGACGCGGGTTCAATCCTGGTAAGAACCATAAAAAACTTTCAAGTTTTTCTTCGATGACTGATGTGTAAAGACATATGGTATGATAAATTTCGGAGCTTAGAGATGACACCCCAGTCACCGACAGGCCTGGACAGCCGGGTGCTAAGGATACCTGTCCAATAAACAAAATGAAGGACACAAATGAAAATATGAATATGAAAGCTAGGGCGTTCCCTCCATGCGACGCGCAGGGTGTAGACCTCCATCCTGTGAAAAATAAAGTAAAGGTCAAAGCAAAGTAGACAAGACTGGCAAGTTTGAATATTGGGACGCTTAAAGGTAAGACGAGAGAATTGACATCAATGTTGAACAAGAGAAAAGTTGATATAGCGTGCATACAAGAGACGAAATGGAAAGGACAGAAAACTTTGATGATTGGAGATGGGTATAAATTGTATTAGTTAGCAATAGGAACGGTGTCGGCATCATCCTCAGCCAAGACCTAACCTCTTCAGTAGTAGAAGTCAACAGGATCTCTGATAGACTAATGAAGATAAAACTCTGCATTGGTCAATCAATACTACACATCCTATCAGTATATGCTCCTCAAACGGGTTGCAAGGAAGAAGAGAAAGATGACTTTAGAGCTATCCTTGATGAAGCTGTAATGAAAATCCCTAAGGATGACCTAGTCATAATTGGTGGTGACTTAAATGCGCATGTGGGGAAAGCAAGAGATAGCTACAAAAGGCATCATGGTGGTTTTGGATACGGAGAAAGAAATGAAGAAGGAGAGCACGTACTGAAATTTGCGCAAGCCTTCGACCTTGCCTTAACCCAACACCTACTATAGGAAAAAAGACAGTCATTTAATAACATATGAAAGTGGTACTAGGAAAACACAGATAGATTACATGCTAATCTCTCGCAGAAGATTAAAAGATGTAATAGACTGCAAAGTCATCCCAGGAGAAGATATCGCTGCGCAACACAAGCTACTAATCATGGATTTACAAATCTCAAATAAATCCACTCAAAATAAGATAAAACTGGAACCATGCATCAAATGGGGCAAATTAAAAACAAACAATAAATTGCTCACAAGTCAGTGAAAAAATCTGGACAGACCTTTCATCCAGATTAATAGACACTGCAAAATCGACGCTAGGCTTGACAATAGGAGGCAACAAATCACACAAAGAACTATGGTGGTGGAATCAAGAGGTACAAACCACTATACAGGAGAAAAAAGCCCTTTATAAAATATGGTACAAATCCAAAAATGCAGATGACAAGTCAAGATACAAAAAATCCAAAAGATTAGCTACAAAGGCGGTGGCTAGGGCCAAATCTATGGCATACGATGACATGTACGAAGATCTACATACCAAAGAAGGGCAAAATAAAATATACAGATTAGCCAAACAGCGAGAAAAGAACTCTAAGGATATAAACGGAGCTCCGAAAGTAATCAAAAATAAAGATGGGAAATTGATAATAAAGGAAAAAGAAATAATGAATAGATGGAAAAAATATTTTCAGGAGCTTCTCAACTTTAATTCCCACATATTGCATCTCGATGAACACTCCCCTTGTCAAAACCTTGTACAACCTATAACAGAACAAGAAATAATCACATGCCTCAAGCATATGAAAAACAACAAAGCTAGGGGTCCAGACGATATTCCAATATAAAGCCTTAAAGCACTAGGAGATGATGGAATACATCTCCTCACAAATCTGTACAATAAAATACTTGGAAATGAAGAGGTTCCCCAAAAATGGAGGCAGAGCTATCTAGTTCCTATCTTCAAAAATAAAGGGGATCCACACAATTGTCAAAATTACAGGGGCATAAAACTTATGTCACACTGTCTAAAACTATACGAAAAAATAATAGAAAAAAGATTAAGAGATATAATCGAAATAGGAGAGACACAGTTTGGCTTTATGCCTGGAAGATCAACAACCGATGCTATCCATGCAATTAGGCAAATGAGTGAAAAATACAGGGAAAAGAACAAAAAGCTACACATGGTCTTTCTCGATCTAGAAAAGGCCTTCGATAGAATCCCAAGAATACTTATCTAGTGGGCGCTACGCCACAAAAAAGTTCCCGAAAAATATATAAGAATAATACAGAATATGTATATGGGACATACAACAATGGTCCGTAGCACAACAGGTACTTCAGCAGGCTTCACAATAGCCGAAGGAGTTCATCAAGGGTCGGCTCTCAGCCCACTTCTCTTCATTACAGTAATAGATGTATTAGCACAGTCTATACCTCAAACAGTCCGGTGGAATATGATATTTGCAGATGATATTGTGATACTTGCCGAATCCAAGGATGAAATGAGAGAAAGGTTAGTGAATTGGATAAATATCCTAGAAACGCACGGATTAAAAGTAAATAGAGAAAAGACGGAGTATATGATGATAGGAGGAGATGAAACGGAGAGTATTGATATAAATTATTGGCAGATATCCGCAATTGAAAGCTGCAAATATTTGGGCTCCACTATACAAACAAACGGCACAATAGAAAAAGAGATAAAGAATAAGATTAATCAAGGGTGGTTAAAATGGAGATCTTTATCTGGAGTGCTATTTGACAAAAGAATCCCACACAAATTAAAGGGAAAAATCTACAGTTCCATAGTACAACCAACTATTCTATATAGTTCGGAAACATGGCCAACCAAAGAATCAGACGAGAGAAGTCTACAAACTATAGAGATGAGAATGCTGAGGATGATTGCTGGTGTAACAAGAAAGGATAAGGTGCGCAGTACAAGAATACTAAATAGTTTAAAGGTAGTGCCCATTAAGACTAAGTTAATGGTAAACAGACTTAGGTGGTATGGGCACACAATGAGAAGGCCTATGAACTACATAGGAAATAAAGTTGAAAGTTTGGAAGTGATGGGCAAACGTAAAAGAGGAAGGCCAAAACTTCAATGGGGCCATAAAGTTAGAGCCAATATAAAGAAGTATAAAATAGATAAAAGAGATTGTATGAATAACATAAAGTGGAGAGAGATGTTGAAGGAGCTTACCACCAGAAAAGGTGAAAGCTAAAGAGAAAAAAAAACAATCTCTTGTTTCAAATTCTGAAAACTCCTTTCCTGTCTACCCCCCCCCCCCATTCAAAATCTATTATTCTTCCTGAGTAACTCATAGAATGGCACTGCCACCATCGCAAAATCTTCAATAAATCGATGATGATAATTAATCATTCCAAGAAATGACTGCAATTCCAATTTATTCTTTGGCACTCCATCTTAATTATACTATCAATATTCTTATTAATAGGCCTAATCTCATATTCTCTTGTATTATGCCCTATATAATCTATCTCCTGAACTCGGAATATACTTTTTTTTACATTTGCCCTTAACCCCTTCTCCAAAATTCTTGCTAAAACTATTCTCAATCTATTATTATGCTCTTCTTTTGTCTTGCTCACTATCAACACATCGTCTAAATAATAAAATACCCCTTGGATTCCAGCAAACACTTTCGACATGGCCTTCTGAAATACCTGGGCCGACAAACTTAATCCGAAAGGCAATCGCAAAAAATTAAATAACCCCTTCGGTGTATTAATCGTTAACTTATCACTCATTTCCTTATTCACCCTTAATTGTAAATAGGCATTACTAAATTCCACCTTTGAAAACCATCTAGACCCTCCCAAACTAGCTAGGATCTCTTCCACCCTTGGCAAAGGATATCTCACCTCAACTAAACCCGGATTCAAAGTTATCCTAAAATCAGCACACAAACGTAACTTACCATCTGCCTTACGAACAGGTATTAATGGGGTAGCCCACTCACTATGTACCACAGGTATTATTATCCCTTCTTCTTTCCACCTATCTAACTCATTATTAATCTCTTCGCGCCATTGGAAAGCTTGAAGGTAAAAATCTAGGCCTGTAATCCTTCTTTATACTCATACTCACTTCAAAATCTTTCAAAGTCCCTAACCCTTTCTCAAATATTATCTTATACTCCTCCAAAATCTCCTTTATTTCCCTCTCAAACATTCCATCCCCTTCCCTACTCTCCAGCCTTATATTATCCATCATCAATCCATTTTTCCCTTTATTCTGCATTACTCGAATCTCCTCTAACACCTCCTTCTTACTCATCTCCATCTCGATCCCCTTAAATTCACCCCACCAATTATACAATAGCCCTACCCACCATAAATTATCCCACCCCAAAATAATCTCCTCCAATTTATCTACTATACAAAATTGAATAACATTATTAACTCCTGGTATTTGCACTGTTAACTCTCCCCTACTGTCAACTGTCTTCCCATTCAATAGATACAATACCTTATCTGATTTCTCTAACTTCTTCTCCGGCCAATACTTCAACACCTCCCCTATTGCCATTAAACTCACTGTCGCTCCAGTATCAATTAAAAATTCTACCTGTATCCCTTCCATATTTAAAATCCAATGTGGACATCTACTAACCTTCTCCCCAACCCCGGACCATACATTTGACCCCTCCCCAAACACCCTTTCTGCCTCCCCCACCAAACTCTTCTGTTTGGACTCTTCTTGTGGACTCAAAAATAACCCTTGCAACTTACTTCTTGTGATGAAATCAATTTTTATTATAAATTTAACAACTTTTTACCTTTTGTACCGCAGTATATATATATTTTACAAAACAAACAATTAATCGTCGTACACAATTAATAATATATATATTTAAAATTCATCATATATTTAATTGCCTTTGAGGCTAATTGTTTCTATTACATCTATTCTCTCCTTTTTTGGGCTCTCGATTTGAAACGGTATAAATTGTTTTCTTATCCGTTTTGGATAACGGCTGCTTGTACTTTCGTTCTCTACCACCGTTTGCTCATTACTGTCGATTTTCATCTTATCATTTATGATGGTGTCTTTGTTTATTGAGTCTTGTATTGGGTCAATGTCTTTGGTCACCAATTCGTGTATAGGATCAATGTCTTTAGTCATTGAGTTTTGTATGGGCTCATTTTCATTCATTTCTGGTGTAGTTTGCATCGTTTCTTCTTCTCTTGCCTTCTCTCTATTTTTTAATTCTGAGTTGTCGAACCTATGTTTTAACTGATTAATATGTCTTCTCCATACCCCTAATTTAGTTTCAACTAAAAACGTCATTGGTCCTGTTCTTTTAACGATGATACCTGGTATCCAATTATCTTTTTTAAAATCCTTTGCATATATTTTTTCATTTATATTAAAAAAACCTGGTAACTGAGGTATATATGGATGAGGATAAACTGGTTTTATTAATTGTAAAGGTCCTATGGGTTGAAATTTAAGCATAATTGAACTTGGTGATTGTTTTGTGGTTATTTGTGGCGTATTTCGATAATTAAACAAAAAATCTTGTATTTTATTATAATCATTATGTTTTTTTAAAAATTTTTTAAAAGTTTGTACTAATCGCTCCGCTTCTCCATTGGTTCTAGGGTGGTATGGGGCACTATATACATTTTTAATTGATAATTGTTTGCAAAATAAACTAAATTCTCTACTTTGAAATGGGGGGCCATTATCCGTAACAATCGTATTGGGGTAACCGAAAATAGCAAAAAGTCTTAACAACAATTTTCTTACTTCAGTAAAATTATTCGTCGATATTTTTTGTATTTCAGGCCATTTACTAAAACTATCTATTATTACTAGGTATATATCTCCGTTAATTGGTCCGGCAAAATCTAAATGAATTTTTCCCCATGGTTTATTTGCTGAGAGCCATTTCCCTATGATCGTTTTATTGCCAGGATTATTGACATAATTCACAATTCTTACCGTGTAATTCGATATCTTCGTTAATATTCGGCCACCAAACGTTCTCTTGTGCCAATAATTTTGTTTTAGTATAACCCTGATGCCCCATATGTAAAAAAGACAAAATATTTACTTGTAATTTTTTTGGAATTATGGTTCTTAAGCCCCATAATATACACCCTGCCTCCATCGTGAGTTCATTTCGGCGCTGGAAAAACGGTTTAAGATTTTCCTCTATCATCTTTGGCCATCCAGTTGTAAGGTAACGTGAAACCTTTGATAATACCGGGTCATTTCTTGTGTGCGCTTTTATATCTAACGCTGAAATAAATTGTGGAGCATCCGATACTATTAAATTAATATCTAACTCTTCCCAAGCAGATGGTTTACCGTCAATTGGAAACCGGGAAAGCATATCCGCATTACTATTTTTTTTCGTTCCTCGAAGTTGCAATTCATAATCATAATTTGCTAGTAGTAATGACCATCTTACTAATCTTGAAGTAATGATAATGAAATGTCTGCCAATTAAATATTGTTTAAATTTAATTAATCCAAATATAATTGCTAAAGCCTCACGCTCTATCTGACTGTAATTTCGTTCGGCAGCATTTAATGTTCGAGACGCGTATCCAATCGATTTTTCCTCGTTGTTAATGATATGAGATATAACTGATCCTATTCCATGTTGAGACGCATCAGCAGCTAGAATTATCGGTTTTTCCGGATTATAATGTGTTAAAATTGGTGTTTCTGATATTAATTTTTTAAATTTATTAATCACAATTGTTTCATTATTTGTCCATTTCCATGGCACATCTTTCCTTAAAAGCCTATATAATGGAGCGGCAATAGTCGAAAAATTGTTTATAAATTTTTGATAATAATTTATTATACCGATAAAAGCTTGTAATTCTTTGACGTTTTTTGGTAATGGTGCGTCTAAAATTGCATTGACATTCTTATTTGTTGTCGTAATTCCCTCTTCGCTAACGGCATGACCTAAGAATTCAATCTTTTCTTTAAAAAAATCACATTTTTTTAGATTTAATTTCATACCGTTTATTTCTAACGTCTTTAATACATTTATCAAATTTTTCTTATGACTCTCAATTGATTCCCCCGTAATTATTATATCGTCCAAATATACCGCTACTCCAGGTAATCCCTTTAATAATGAATCCATTGCTTGTTGAAAAATCGCTGGCGCTGAGGCTACCCCAAACGGAAGTCGTGTGAAACGATACAATCCACTAGGCGTGTTTAACAGCTTTTTTGCCTCCTCATCTAGCTCTATTTGAAAATACGCTTCGGATAAATCTAATACTGTATATTTACACCCATTACCTAGTGTGGCTAATAATTCATTAATTCTGGGTAAAGGATATTTATCTATTAAAATATTTGCTTTAATCGTTTGTCTGAAATCACCGCAAATTCGTAAAGATCCATCTTTCTTCAATACGGGTACAATCGGAGAAGCGATATTCGAGTATTTTAGTCTTTCTAAAACTCCCATGGATTCCAGTCGTTGTAATTCCGTTTCGAGTTTTGCCTTCCACGCAAATGGTATCGGTCTACTTTTCGTACATTGTAACTGTGGGTTAGATTTTACCGCTAAACTGGCCTTAAAACCTCTTAGTAAACCTAATTTTTTAGTGAATATGTACAATATTATCCTCCCAAACCTCATTAACTATATTACATTGATTTATTTTTATTAATTTTAATTTGTTTATTAGGTTTCTACCTATCAAGTTAATCCCATTGTTTACAATAATAAATTCATGATATATAACTTTATTCATATAATTAACGGGTAATATACACTTACCTTTAATATTGATCATTACATTATTATAAGATTTTAAAATAATATCCGTTTTTGTTACTGGTATTTTTAAACGGTAAACGTCTTCTATATTCAAAATGGAGACTGCCGATCCTGTGTCAATTAAAAATTTAATATAAATTTTATCTATCAATAATTTCACCTCAAATTTTTCTCGAGACTCCTCTGGAAATTCCCAATCCTCAAAACTTTCTCGCTCATTTTCTGGAACATCTATCGTTCGAATATATTCCTTCTTTCCACGATTCCTTCTGCATACTTTTTGTAAATGTCCTTTTATCCCACAATTATGGCAGATGGCATAGGGCACTTAGGTTTTATGTGATCTCCTAATCCTCAACAATAGCAAATAATTTTTGGTACTGATTTGTACTTGTCATACTGCTCCCTTGTTACTGTTTTTGAGATTTTATTTATCTCCTTCCCTGCAAATAATTTTTCATACGACATTATTTCTGTAGTCTCCATTGCGGTCGCGATTTGTATTGCACTTTCCCATGTCAAGTCCTGCGTGTTAATTAATTTCATTAATATTTTTCCATTATTAATTCCTGACACTAATTTGTCCCGCAATACTGTATTATACATATCTTTAAATTCACACGTCTTTGCCTTTATCTTTAATTTATTAATATACTCTACGATGGTTTCATCTTTTTCTTGTTCCATTTTAAAAAAATTATCTTTCTAATAGGAAGTTTGTCTTCTTCATATAATAATTTTTTAAAAGTTTAATTATGTCATCATATGATATTTCCTCTAATGTCTTTGGCAAACACAAATTAAATAATTTAGAATAAACCTCTAATCCAATATTCGCTAATAAAAATGATTTTTTATCTTCTATTTTTGCGATTTTAAATATTAATTCCATTTTTGATAAATAAACTTCCATATTGCACTCCTTTATATTATATTTCTCCATTTGAAACGACTGCGCCATTGTGACAATTTTCAACTTTTTACCTTTTGTACCGCAGTATATATATATTTTACAAAACAAACAATTAATCGTCGTACACAATTAATAATATATATATTTAAAATTCATCATATATTTAATTGCCTTTAAGGCTAATTGTTTCTATTATACTTCTCTTAGTCGAACTACTAATGGACTTTAGACCTCGGACTATGCCCCTAGACTCAATACTCTCTCCAAGACTTTGGACTCCCCAACAAGACTTAACTTCTCCCAACCCTTCCCCATTCTAACTCTCCCTCCTCTTTTACTTTCCGTGTCTCTATGGATTCTCATATTACCCCAAACATCCCCATTTAAACAATAATCACCAATCTCCCTTAAATACCCCCTTATATATATAACTAGAGACAAAATAATCCTTATCTAAAAATACACGTAAAATATTCCAGTTAAAATTATACATATTATATAAATCAATAAAATATAAAAATCTAATCAAAATCATTCTAAAAACACTACTCACATTAAAATAATTTTTATAATTATTAATATATATATTTTCCAAATAATACTAATAATTTTGTTATTAACTATTATCTATATAAATTTAAACTATAAACTATTAAATCATTTAATATCCTCCTTTTCTCAGTCATGCCCCTACCCTCTCATGAATTCCCGGGCAATCCATAATCAAATGATCCTCCTTAGAACATTTAAAACATCTTCTATACCCCTCCATATTTCCCACTTCACCTACTACACTGCATTCCCTACTGATGTGACCCTCTCTGCCACATCTGAAACAACGTATTCCCTTCACTACCTTCCTTCCCAGAACCTCCATCTCCGCCCTTCTATCCACCCGGAATCCTACATTACAATTCCCTTAACTTCTTTAATATAACAGTAACTTTTAATGGATTCGGAAAATGCGTGTAAATAAGAAAAAATATACCTTTTATTCCTTGCTAATATGCCATCATAAAAAATGTGAGGTTAGATGGGAGAATTTTTTATTTTTTTCTAAGCCGAATGGATTGAATTAATTTTCAATTGACTTGACAAAATTTTTAGAATAATGCTTTCAGTAGCGTCACTAGAGGGAGGCGGATGGGCTATAGCCTCCTGAAATATTTGAATAGCCCCCTGAAGCGAAATAATATTTTTTTCTTAATGGCTCCCTAATATCCCCCTGAACTAAAAATAAATTTTTTAGTCCCCTGAACGATTTCTTTTATAATTCTTAATTATAAGTATTATATATAGATTTGATCTTATTATTTAAAAAATTAATTAGACTATCTAAATTATTATTAAATGAGTGCTATTTTAATTATTAGATTAGGTTAATACATATAAATTTTATATTATTTAAAAATTTTAAGACTATCTGAATTTTTATTATATGAGTGCAATTTTATTTATTAGATTAGATTAATATATATAAATTATATTCACTATGTCAGCTTGCAGTCAAATTCTGTGTTAAAAATGGAATATATTAATTTAGCATTAACAGTTGAAGCTAAATTGATTTTTATTATTTAAATTCTTTTATAACCCTAATTAAATAAGTATAATCATTTATTAATTGAAAATTAATAAATTAAATCTTGTAATTAGCCGAGTTCCAAATCACTAAACAACTATAGTATTCATTTTTAAATTTAATTACCATTCCTCTTCCTAAAAATATTTTCAAGGTCCAAATAAGTATAGAGATTTCTTTAAAAGTAATTAACATAGAGTTAATCCTCTATTATTCAAAATTGGTTATAAAATCAGTGGCGTCGCTAGGAGGGTGGGGGAAAGCCCCCTGAAAAATTTGAATAGCCCCCTGTAGCAAAAAAAATTTTTTTGATGGCTCCTTAATAACCCATTGAAAAATAAATTTTCTAGATTGCCCACTGAATGATTTCTTTTATAATTTTATTGAGTAATATATAGATTTAATTTTATAATTTAAAAATTAATAAGTCTATCTAAATTATTCTTAAATGAATACTATTTTAATTATTAGATTAGATTAATACTTATAAATTATATTTTCACTATGTCAGCTTGCAATCAAATTCTGTGATAAAAATGGAATATTAATATCACTCACTAAATATTAATTTAGCATTAACAGTTGAAGCTTTATTGACTTTTATTATTTAAATGATTATATAACCCTATTAAATAAATATTAATTGAAAATTAAAATTTAATATTCTAATTAGCCGAGTTCAAAATCACTAATCAACTATATTATTTATACTTAAATTTAGGCTGTTTCATAGTGGAGACGGATCCGATTTTTACATCCGTTCCGTCAAAAGTCAATCTCATTAAAAATGATATATATGTTCATAGTGCGTCCGTTCCGATACCTTCCGTCTTGAAAACGGATCCGGCAAATTTTGAAGTCAAAACATTTTGACTTTTTGATCCGGCAAATTTTATAAAGCGTTATAACGTTACTTATAATTTTTTTATAGTTATAAATTATAGATAAATCTAGGTTAACAATTTGGTGAATCAGGTATTAAAACTTTATAAATATAACATAGAATTTTTTAAATAGTTAGTTTTTACAGATATTTTTTAGGTGATGAGTTAAATTTTACTCTTCCATTTGTCTTCTCTATTTGTAACATACCTTGTTAAAAATAACTAAGCTTATTTATCATAACTAAATAGAATTTTATTTTAATTCTAATATCATAATACATATATACATTATTAACTAATAGAATTTTTTGAATTAATTATAATAGCATTTTATCATAACTATTTCATTTATCTTCTCTTTTACTCTCATCTACCTTGTTAAAAATAACTAAATATAATTTTTTATTTCTAATATTTTAGCTTGTTCATGTTAAAAATAAAAATTAATGTGTTAGATTTAATTGAAGCTGTAAGAGGATCTAAATTTATATATGATAAATTTGATGAAAGTTACAAGGATTCACGCAAAAAATCAGAATTTTGGATAAATATAGGCCTACAATTTGGTGAATCATGTATTAAAACTTTATAAATATAACATAAATTTTTTTGAATATATTTTATTAATTAAATTGAACACTTTCAATAATTATATATATATTTAGAATTGATCAAACAATATGATCATTCATTACCTCTGTTTTATATTTTTGAGGTGATGAATTAATATTGTATTAATATATCTCATCTAAGTATTTAGATAAAAAGAATAAGCTTACTATTTAATTCTTAAATTTGGTATTACAATGTTAATAAATATCTTTGAATAATTATTTAGGAGCAAACTTAATTTTTTTAATTAAATTAAATACTATCAATAATTGAGCAAACAATATGATCATTCATTACCTCTGTTTTATATTTTTGAGGTGATGAGTTAAATTTATTGTATTAATATATCTCATCTAAGTATTTAGATAAAAAGATTAAGCTTACTATTTAATTCTTAAATTTGGTATTACAATGTTAATCAATATCTTTGAATAATTATTTAGGAGCAAACTTAATTTTTTTAATTAAATTAAATACTATCAATAATTGAGCAAACAATATGATTATTTATCTGTTTTATATTTTTAGGTGATGAGTTAAAGACTAGATGGAACAATCTAAGAGATAACCAAAATAAAGAATATAAAAAAACTCTGGATAAACCTAGTGGTTCAGCAGGACCACCATAAATATCTGTATGGCCGTATTATGAAGCATTATCTTTTTTAAACAAAACATTAACACCTAAACACAAATATCCAACATAACCATATCAAATTCGACTCCGCTGTATGATATCACCACAGATGAAAATATATATGTAGAAAAAGATATTTCAAAATCGAATAAAAAAGGAGAAACAAATTATAGAGAAAAATTATTTGAAAAAATAATAAAAATAGAGGAGGATAAAAAGAGGTATCCTCCTTTGCTAAATTTATAGATGAAGAATTGTCATCTTTACCACAGGATCACAAAGATAAAGTGAAAATGAACATTATTCAAATGATTTTTTTATATAAAAGTCAATTAAAAAAATAAATTATATATTTTTAAATATTTTTATTTTTAAAATATATTATAATTGTTAAACATATTATAAATTTTTTATTACAAAATAATAAATATTTGCTTTGTGCTTTTTAAACTTAGCCTGACCTATAATTATATCATTTTAAGTACCATATTAGGAAAGGTCTGATAAAAATAAATTTGATTAGTCAAGGCTAGTGTTGTTAAATGGCTCGTTTTGAGCCGATTTTTAAAAACGGCTAACTCAATACTTCATCCAGAAAAATATTACGCAAGCCTGAAGATTTTGCTCATTGAAGGAACAAAGGTCTATACATGTATTATCGAAATCTCTGGGTTTAGGCATTATTTTTCTGGCTAAAATTTTGAGTTAGTCGTTTTTAAAAATCGGCTCAAAACGAGCCGTTTAACAACACTAGCTCAAGGCTTACTAAGTAGGCAAGATATTTACACTCAGGATCCTTTTCTTATATAAGCTACTTTAAAAAAATGTCACATTAAAAAATCAGTAGTAATACAGACCTCAGTTTCAATTTCTAATAAATCTCATTACCCATTCACCAAGTATTTAAATTTAATAGAATAGCAGAAAATATTTATTTACATGTATAAATTTTTTTTAAGAATTTATTAAACTAAAACATGGGAAATTGGTACAAAATAATTATTTTATAAACAAGTTCTTGTATTTTTATAAAAAAATAAAATATATACCAAAAAATATAAAGAAATTTAATACATATAAATTCAAAATATTGAAAAAATAAATATTAATTTAAAATATTAGTTTGCCAGGGCAAAATGTCTATATTATTAAAATAATTGCTAAATAAATTTCTTATATTTATATTTTGATCAAAACTATTTTTAATACTCTGTTGGTTCCATAAAGGATAATTTGAACCAACAGGATCAAAACTTATTATATTTAAATTTTGTTTAGTTAATATTATATTATGTAAAATACAAGTTGCTTTAATGATGCCTTCAAAAAAAGGTAGAGAAACCTCTACCTGTTTTTAATAAAATTCTCCACTTTGAGGTTAAAACCCCAAAACTACACTCCACTATCCTTCTTGCCCGGGATAGGCGGTAGTTAAATATTTTAGAATCATCATTATTATTTTTAATATATGGCTTCATCAAATATCTTTTCAGAGGATATGCTCCATCCCCTAAAATAACATGAGGCACCACTATATTTGAATTAGGTAAAAGCTTAGGGGGTGGAATTGGAAGCTCACCATTTTCAATTCTTTTTGATAGAAGTGAGTTTGCAAAGACTCCTCCATCACTTTGACTTCCATAACTGCCAACATCTATAACCATAAATTTGCCATTATGATCCACCAATGCTTGAAGGATTATTGAAAATCCATGCTTGTAATTGAAAAACTGTGTTCCTGTGTGCGGAGGCTTATTTGTCTTACAAAGCTTCCCATCAATGGCCCCTAGTAAAATAATAAAATTTTAATATAGTAAAAATAAATATATCATCTATACAGTTTGGGAAGTTCCACATCTCCTCTAAGCCTTGAGCTACTTCCTCAAACATCTGTAATGTAGGTACCATCATATGGATAGGTTGCAAAATATCCCATAAAGCCTTGATTGTATCTCCTATTATTTGCTTAATAGTGGATACTCCTAATTTATAATTATAAGACATGGAGACATATGAATCCCCAGTTGCAAGATATCTAGATTAAATGCAGTAAGAAATTATAAAAATGTATTTTAAATTATAAAAATTAGTAATAAGATATAATGTGTCGATAAAAATAATAATTAATAAGTTTTTCAACCTTTATTAATATAAATATAAGGGTAAGATCTCAATATTAAATATAAAATTATTTTAATATATATAAGCTAATTTTAATAAATTTATATATATATTTATAAGAATAAAAAAAATTAAAAATATTTACCTCAGTAAATACTATATATAAAAATATACTCACTTTTTTCATATGCATGTAATTATAAAACTTGAGGTCATCTTTAAGTAATTTTGGCAGCAAAGTAAAATATGCTCCCTCCTTCCTCCTTTTCGAATTAACTATATGCCTTTTCTTAAAATTCAAGGTCAAAATCCAAATAAGTATGAGAGATTTATTTATAAAAAGTAAGTAAACCTATAGTTTATAATCCTCTATTAGATATAATTGATTACAAAAGATTAGGTTAAATACCACTTTTACAAACGTATTTGACAGTTATATAATAAATTACAGTTAATATTTTTAAAAATTTTACTAATAAATGCTTTTGATAATAAATATAAATATTAACTTGCTTTCAAATATTTAACGCCATCTATTTATTTATATATATTTTTTAAAATTTAACTTATTATTTATCCCATAATGTATGTAATAAATTAGATAACTTTTCTTCTTTTTTTTTACATGTTTTTTAAAAGCTATTTTTTTATTATTTGAAAAACAGTTTTGAATTAAATTTTTAATACTAGTATATTTTTGATATTAATACAAACTACTACTATTATAATACCAACTAGAGGTGGTGCGATAATAATATATAAAATCTTAATTACATTCATCATATCACTCTGGTTCTTATTTTATAGTTACAAAATGTTTAATTTCTAATATGGCATCCTTGCCGTGAAAATAACTCAAGACTTCATTATATTTGCATAACTTCTTCTAAAGATTTTAGTGTTTTTAGGTCCGTGAAGTTGTAAGAACGATGTAAGGATCAATTAACAAAACCTATGCCATTATTTAGAGTCTTAATTGATCCTAATTGATCTTCAAACCAGACATCAGCAGAATTAAAGGTTTTTGAGTTATAAGCAAAATAATGAAAGTGCGAAGATTTGCAGCTGTAAGAATGATTTGAGGATCAATTCCCGAAACTTATATCATAGTATAGCCCGTTAATTGATCCTAATTGAACTTCTATCCGGAAAGCAGCAGAATGAACCGTTACTGAATTATGAGCAAAATAAGAAAGTGTTGGCACTTTGCCAAAACCGAAAATATAAAAGATCACGATCTGAAACTTGGCAATTATTAAAGATTTAATTTGTGCGTTAATAATATCCAAACCGGATATCGATATCACTAACCGCAATTGAGTTATGACCTGTTTTTATAGCGTGAAGTTGTAAGAATTTTTTTAAAAAGTGAGGATCAATTACCAAAATATATGCCAAAGTGTGGTGCGTTAATTGATCCTCCAGAATCTTTAAACCGCATATCAACAGAATGAACCGCTCGTGAGTAATAAGCAAAATAGAAAGCTTGCCAAAATTAAAAATTTAAGCAATCATTTTTTTAGTTATAGCCAATATTTAGTACCCTAATTGATCCTCCATATTCTTTAAACGGAATGTCAAAAAAATTAAAGGCTATTGAGTTATAAGCAAAATAATGAAAGTGCGAAGGTTTGCAGCTGTAAGAATGATTTGAGGATCAATTACCGAAACTTATATCATTGTATAGCCCGTTAATTGATCCTAATTGATCTTCTATCCGGAAAGCAGCAGAATAAACCGTTACTGAGTTATGAGCAAATTAAGAAAGTGCTGGCACTTAGCCCAAACCGAAAATATAAAAGATCACGATCTGAAATTTGGCAATTATTTAGGCTTTAATTTGTGCGTTAATAATTTCCAAACCGAATATCGATATCACAACCGCAACCGAGTTATGACCTGTTTTTAAAGCGTGAAGTTGTAAGAATTTTTTTAAAAAGTGAGGATCAATTACCAAAAACTATACCAAATTGTGGTGCGTTAATTGATCCTCCAGAATCTTTAAACCGCATATCAACAGAATGAACCGTTCGTGAGTTATAAGCAAAACAAAAAAGTATTGGCACTTTGCCAAAACTGCCAAAACCGAAAATAAAAAAGATCATGTTTTGAAACTTGGCAATTATGTAGTATTCAATACGTACATTAACAATCACCAAACCGGATATCGATATCACTAACCAATACCGAGTTATAACCGTTTTAAAAACATTAAGTTGGCGAAAATATTTAAGCTGTAAGAACGATTTGAGGATCAATTACCGAAACTTATATCATTGTATAGACCGTTAATTGATCCTAATTGATCTTCTATCCGGAAAGCAGCAGAATGAACCGTTACTGAGTTATGAGCAAATTAAGAAAGTGCTGGCACTTAGCCAAAACCGAAAATATAAAAGATCATGATCTGAAATTTGGCAATTATTTAGGCTTTAATTTGTGCGAAAATAGAATAATATGTTTATCTTCGTCTTCAGATGATTCTTCAACCGAAAATTATAACAATAAATTTAAACTAAGCATACTTAATGGCAAATTTTTTTAAGTACTTCAAGATGATCATAATAAAGAAATTCATCGTGACTTTGGTATTGCGAAAAAGTTTTAGCAACTGTTACAGATAACGGCTCTAACTTTAAGAAAGCTTTCAAGGAGTTTGGATATTCTATGGAAGCTGTAGAGAATGACCTTGACAACAATGATGATGAATGTATAGAATTCGAAATCATTGAAAGTATTATTTAATACTTCTTTAAAATTTATTATATATTGTAAATTTAGTAAAATTTTTATTCAAATAAAATTATTATTTGTTTATTTAAGGGTCTAAAGAAGCCTCAATAACATTGCCTCAACACATTCGTTGTTTGTGCCATACGATAAGTCTAATTGCCACAACAGATGTCGAGAGAGTTATTATACTAACATTTCTAAAATTCATCATCCTGCAATAGCTAAATGTACTAAGCTGGAATGCAAATAATAGGCCTAAAACTGCAGAACTTATCAAAGCAGTTTTAGGAAAACAATAAGTTACGCCTTGTTGCACTAGATGGAATAGTTTGTATGATAGTCTTCATAGTTTATTAAAATTTAAAAGCGAACTTCCTAAATTATGTCAAAAATTAGAATTTCCTAAATTAAGAGATATTGAAATTCAATATTTAGAAGAATATTGCAATATAATGGCCCCATTGGCTATAGCGATTGACAAAATACAGAGTGAAATCAACTGCTATTATGGAGAATCAGCTCCAATTTTAAATGTCGTTAAAAAAATTACAAATTTAATTCAAACCAATCTACAATTTTGCAAACCATTAGCTGTTGCCATAGAAAATTATTTAAATAAAAGATTTAAAAATATATATGATTTTGATAACAATTTTAAAAGTGCATTTTTGGCAACTATTTCTCATCCCTATTTTAAAAATCGTTGGATTCATGGTGAAAAAGAAAAAAAATACCTTCAGGATTTGTTATTACATGAAGTTTTAATTGTTTTTAAAAATAATATTGAAATTAATACTTCAACAAAATCTTCAATTGATGAAGATGATGATTACTTTTGCCTTAAAAGTACCACATCCAATTCTAATAATTCAATAAATGATATTGAAATAAAGGTCCTAAATTATATGAAAGATGACAGGCGGAGTATAAATATGTTAAATAGTTATAAATATGAAATATTTATTAAATATAACACAATATTACTCTCCTTAGCCCCCGTTGAAAGATTATTTAGCTTTGCTAATATGGTTAATCAAATCGTCAAAGATTGAACGAAAAATTAATAATATTAAAAAATAATGCTGATTTATGATGCTGATTTATTATTATTTACTAATTATATAATTATTAAATGGAATATCGCATTATCTTTTATAATAAATTTGTTATTTTCTACAATTTATTTTAAATTTTTTTTATAAATTTATATTATAGATAAGAAAATAAAGCTTTTATCTTATATCTTATTGAAATTTTTCAAAAGTATCTAGTATCTTGTATCTAAAATACAAAATTTTATAAAGTATCTGTATCCGAATACAATTTTCTGAAAATTTGCCCAACCCTGGCGTGGGGGCGTTGTGTTCTAATTAATTACTGTTATTGTGTTTAATATCATTTTTTTCTATAATTAATAAATATGCTAGAAATTATTTTTTTATTAATTATAATGTTTAATTAATTTTAAATATTAACCAGATGTGTTAATAAATCAATCTTTTTCATTAACTAAAATTCTTTTAAAAATCATAAATAAATATTCCATCGTAATTAAATTTGGTAAGATTTTTAAATTTTATTTTTTAAATTATATGGGTACATTTAGTACAGGGGAACGTTAGGACACTCTGATTATAATTTGAGCTATTAGTTATAAGACTGGAAATTTGAGCTTAACATAGATAATTACGTCATACATGATTAGCTAAAAAAAATTTGAAAAAAATTTGAAAAATATTTAGTATTTTAATTTTTACAGAAGAAGTTTTGGCATACCAAAATTAATATAAAATATTTGCCTTTATCGTTTCAAAAATCATAATAAATAGATTTTAGGAAAGTTTAAACCTATTTCCCAATCTGGCAAACTTTTGGAATCAAGGTTGATATTTATAAAGTTAGTGGGCTCGGTCATAGTTGGTCAAAGTAAGTTGGGATACGCCATTTTAGCTCATTTTATAATTTTATTATTAATTTAGTATTTTGAATAATGAATAATTAAATACTTATCTTTCACTATGTTTATGATTAAATGAAATTTTTTTTTACAATTTTTTTTTCTCAAAATAAATTTGCTAAATTTTGCTATTTTTTTTATAGTTATTGATTATGAATTACACTATCAATAAAATTATATGTGTCATATCTAG